CACCCGCACAATATCGTTCAGTACCCTCAAGGCGGGCTGTCACATGCGAGCCCACCTGCATTGCCAACTGCCGAGCAAAGTCTCTAAGTCCCGACCGTATCGAACGCACGGCAATGTCCTGGCCTCTCCCAAATAAAAGCTGCTTTTCCTGGACCTTTGCCAGGCGTTCCACGTTCTTGGCCAGGATCTCTACCTTTCCCAATAAATCTACTTGGACCGCCATCTGATCCCTCTGCTTCCTAATCTCTTCCAACTCTTGCGCCGCCTGCGTTGCTGCGTCCATTCTTCTCTTCCTCTCCCTAGTGAGACGGAACTTCACTCCATCCTCTTCTCATCCTCTAGCACTTGCCGCTTGAGTGGGTCTCCTTCAGCTTCCCACTCTTGCACGGCCGCCTCCTGCTCGTCCCTGGGTACATACATTAACGCCTCCTCATCCTCTCCTAGGGTAAGTCCTGCAACCCACTCTGAAATCTTCTTCTCCATCAAGTCTTCCTTTGTCTCACTGGACTCCCCTCTGTTTCCTCTTCTTCCTCTCTCCAGTGGCTCCTCTTCTACCTCTTCTTCTTCTTCCTCTTCCACTTCCTTTAATTTCGCTTCTTCTTCTTTCTTCAGCCTCTCCTTCTCTTTGACCATCTCCTCCTCTATCTTTTTCAACTTCGCCGCCTGCTCCTCCTGTAGGCCTTCTTCTTGGCCTCTTTCTTCTCTTTCCTCTCCTTCAGGATGGCGGTCATCTTCTCCTCCTCTTCCTTCGTATAGGGCTTGGTGGAGGCGCCACCCCTAGTACCTACTCTACACGAAAACGTGTTCCAAAACCCCAGTGGGAAGAGGAGACGCCAAAGTGTCCCCGAAAGGGAGAACCCAACGAGTAAACCATACATCGGGTAATCATCCATGGTGATAGGTGCACGACAGGACAATCCACTCCTCACCACGTAGACTTACCCGCAAAACTCCCTAACAGACTCTCTAAGGACCACAGGGTTCGTATAGAACCTTGTCATCTATGGTCGCTAGCCTAGACCTACACTATGGCTGTCACTACTGAACCAGTGGCTGATCAGGAGGCATTTAAGGAGATCCCCTGTAACTCCTAAGGAATTCTTTAACGTCGCAGTCAGGACGACGTGATCAGCTTGGTTCTGCATGTTGCACAGCCCGCAACTCAGCCTTTCGGGCCTACCGTGCCACACCGAGCAGCCCGCCGGTCTGTACCGGTCCTTGGGAGGGTTCGTGTCCCTTGGGACAGTCGAGTCGTCAGACACAGTTTTTAGCCTTACTAGGTCCGGTAGGGGTTTGGGTCAACAAGGCCCTCAACACTTAAGACTGCCTGGTGTGTCAGCCCACAACTTCGCCGTTCAAGCGCACCGTGTCACGCCCAATCCGAGCCCCGCCGGTCAGCACCGGTCCTTGGGAGGGTTAGGCCTCCGGGACAGTGAGATTAGACACCGTATTAGCTCCACAAGGTCAGGTAGGGGTTTCGTCATCCAGGCCCTATCCTTCATCCACAAAGTACTACTACTTAGGACAGAAGAGACTCAATGCAGAAAGAAGAGACTCAATGCAGAAAGAAGGGACAGACAGACTCAGACTCAGCAAGTACCGCAGGGTGAGTGCACATCCATAGGGCGAAGGGATAGGCTAAGGGCTTGGCGAGATATTACAAACTCCAGCTTGGTCAAAGTCTTGGTCAACAGCTCCGGTCAACGCCTAGGTCAACGCTGAGTCAATGCGGACAACCCTCGGTCAACACCCCGGTCAACCCTCCAGTCAGCGCCCGGTCAACCCTCCAGTCAGCGCCCGGTCAACCCTCTGGTCAACGCTTGGTCAACCCTCCGGTTACCCTATCGCTATGGCTGCACTTCGTCTCTCTTGCGCACTTCGGCTTCGGGCTGCTGCAGACCTTCTTGCACAAGCCGCTGAGGCAGCGCTTCCGCATGGCTTCCGCAGGAATGAATGAATGGCTGTGCGCGGCCTCTTGATTTATACTTCTGTGACTCGTC